ATCGTCGTCCGACCATCGGCGGTCAGTTTATAAGGTCGGTCGACCGTCGATCAACAATAAGGGTATCCAAAACTTCGGCCGACGGTTAAAATCTAACTGTTGCTCAGAGCTCGATGATCGGGTGACGATTGGCCGACTTATAAATATTTAACATATATGAAGGATACATAACACAAACAAAATTTTGATGCATAGATTAGTACATATTTTTTGAATGGAAATGACATAAATAATAAATCTGTAAAATATAAAGAAATATTAAGTTTTCTTAACTGCTTCGATGTGCGCCTTTTTGTCGTTTTCTATGTTATTCTATTCAAAAGTTTGCGCATATTTTTAGTATTGTGTCACAATCTTACAAAATTCTCTCACTTTACCTTGCAAACATTACTCAGGTTACTTACTTGAATATAGATCTATGAGAAATATTTCTATTTCTGAAGAAAAAGGGATTTTTGTGTTATTTATAATCTAACTCATCGATGTTCCTAGGAATTAATGTGACTGCTCCGTGTTGCCCGATACTCGTGTCGGCCGATCATGTTCTTTCAGCCTCGAAGATACAAGAAAAATTTGATCGCCCGACCACCGGATTTAATGTGACCTATTCGTCACTCTGCGACTCTAAAACCCCAGTCACATTTCCAAAAACGACCAACGGTCGACGGGTTTTGAAGCAAAAATGGGATTCTTCGGGTGACAGTTGTCAGTCCATCGGCCGTTGTCTTGGTCGATTTTGACCTATTTTTTTGTCGGCCGACCAATTTTGTATCCATCGGTCCAAGTTATAATTTTTCATGCGTCGGTGGCCGATTTCTTCAACTGTAGCTATCCGTCGATCAACCTTCGATCATCGTCCGACCATATCAGCAGTCAGTTTATTAAGTCGGTCGTACGTCGTTTGACAATAAGGGTGTTGAAAATTGCACCAGACGGTTAAAATAAAACTGTAGCTCAGAGCTCGATTATCGGGCGATGATTGGCCTACTTGTGACTATTTAACCTATTAAGGATACATAACACAAAACAAAATTTTGATCCATGGATTGATATAAAATTTTTGAACGGAAATAACATAAATAATTAATCCATAAGATATAAAGAAATCTTAAGCATTTTTTGCTGCTTAGATATGCACCATTTGTCGTTTATGCAATTCCATACAAATTTTGCACACATTTTCAACATTGAATCACAATTTTATAAGATTCTGCCACTTTACCTTGCAAACATTACTCACGTCATCTATCTGAATATAGATCTATGAAAAAAATATTGCTGATTTCTAAAGAAAAAAGATTTTTCTTGTGTTATTTATCCAAGTCATCGGTGTCCCTAGGAAATAATGTGACTGCTCCGTGTCGCCCGATACTGTGTCGGCCGATCCTGTTCTTTCAGCCGACAAAAAATATAGTCGCCCGACCATCGGCTTAAATGTGACCTAGGCATTAAGCAGACGCACGACGCGGGCGACGGGACTTGAATGATTGATTGATTGATTAGTTGTTTTACACCGAGTCGACAATATTTTAGCTATATTTCGGCGACGGAACTAAAAAACAATTTCAAACTAGAGGTACTGTGAGCACTGATCTCGCTAAATGATACCCCCGCCATATGATTTTAATGGTGAAGTCCATGTCTCGCTATCAGAGACCTAAATATGTGTCACATCAAAAAGTAAAATAGGAGGGGGAAAAAATCCTGTCTTTAAAAAATGTTTAAAGAAATATGTCTTAAAATTGTTGCCATTTGCTTTACATGTATTATGACAGTGGGGATATTCGATCATTTTTCTGTTATGTAGTCATTTACATTTTGTATACTTGTCTGAATCCATATTTATTAATATCCCCCGCTTGAAAATTGGAAGGGTATATAGTGATCGGGAAGTCCTTATCTTATCCGAAACTCCACTTATACCACTGAGTAAAATTTTGACACTTTCACAGATTCTTACATACTAGTAATGCAGTTGTGCACCTTCTATTTTGCTTTTGATCTGACACATTTAATATTTTGGGTTTCCCATAGCAAAAGTAAGACACTGCCATTCTTTCTTTAATATTGAAGGGTACATGTACCTATCTCTTATCCACAACTTTTCATATACTACTGAATAAAATTTAATGATACTTTCCCAGAATCATTATTACATAATGCATTTGAGCATCTTTTATATCACATTTTGAGATGATACTTATTTTGAATCTCCCACTAGTTATTCTTCTTTACTCTTTACAATAAACAATAGATAGAGGGCAATTTCCCATAGCAAAACATAGACACTGCCATTATATTCATGTGGGAGGCGGGGGTATCTCATTGCTAACAGTACCTCTAGTTTGAAATATGATTAGAAGTGTTCTGTTACTGATCATTAGGGTTTGCAAATTTTCATGCATCTGGGGGACAATCTGCGTTTAACATTTTAAAAACGACTTTCAAACATTAATTTAAGGTCAGAGACGTTCCTCAAAATCTGTTTTGTATATCTTCGTAATGAATGAAAAATATTCAAAATTTTAATAACATTCTAATTTCTAAATCAGTTTCTAAACGTTTTTAAAAAATCCAAACAATTAAACATTTGAAATTGGAAAATTATTTTTCTTTCCCAAAGGATTATATAAGAAAAACTACCCCTGGTATCTTGCAGAAATGCCTGGTAAGGTACCTCAATTTTTTGTGAGTAAACATGTTTAAGTAGCAATACTTCAATGACAAACTCATAAAAAAAATTATCTATTATTAAGGAACGTCTCTTCTGTCCTTAACTTTATTGCGAATTATTAAGGTGCATTCCAGTATATGGTTCAAAGGAGGAGAATCTGTTTTATCGATAAAGCATGTTTTAAATTTGATACAGATATAAACGTTTTTACGAGGAAATCCTTAGCCTTTTTCATACATGTATTACAGTAATGAAGGAGGGGAAAGGGTGTCAAATTAACAAAATTAGGTATAGTAAAATCACATATTTTCGTGGGGTCAAATTTTCGTCGTTTAAGGACAAAATTCATGGGGGTTTGATTTCGCGGATAAGAAGATTTTAGTAGTTGAGCATATGAAAATTTACATTTCGTGGTGGGCATGAATTTGTTGGTCTCTTCATACCCCGAAAACAACAAAAATTAACCCCCACGAAAATTAGTGATCTTCGTATTTTAGTATCATAACACTTTGCAAAAACATATATTGATATTACAACCCTATTTCTAATGGATAAAATGTGATGGAAATAATAGACGAATTTCACATTCCTGAGAGTTATCTCCCGTTGTCGGCGTAATGCTCATTTTTCCCTCTTTGTCCTTTGTAAGTTACCTGTTGATATTTTTAAAATTCAAACGTTCTATGACAATTTCGATCTGTACCTGTATTGCCAGAGTATGGGGCAACATGAAAAACATAATGAGCATGTTCATATAGATTTTATTTCTAGGACCCATAAAGTTGGTAAGGTTATAGAGGGAAAACAGCGTCTTACGCCAGTTGAGTCCGGATTGACCCCGCAAAGGGGAATAACTTTTGTAAATGTGAAAGTCGTCTATATACTCATCTATGTATCTCTAATTTTTAAATCTAAAACACTGAACCGGTTCATTGTTCTTTTAAGCGTCGTGTAGAACATTGAACTGTCCTTGATTTGAATATTTTTATTCAACAGATTATCATTTGCTGCTACATATGATTTTAATCTCTTTTTAATTGAACCTATGTATTTTATATTTTTCTGAAAGATCTTACTTGGTCATTAAATAGTTGCGATTGATTTATCATAAGCTATATCATCTTCGACCAATTATCGTTTAGAAAAGTTAGATTGAATCTGACGTCTTCTTAAACGGAGACATTGAAGCATGTCATTCGGCGGAAAGAATTTGCAAGTATATCACATTTAAATCTTTTAAGTTAAATCATTTAAGTATTTTAGCATGCCCGAGCCAATGCATCAAAGCTCTCAACAAAGTTGGTCGTATATCCGTTTATTTAGCTGTTGTTCATTTGCATGTTTTAATTTGTAAACAACTTGAATTAAGAGGTCTTCTTTAGACCCCAAGAACCAATTACAACAGAAAATAATACTAAACGTTTTGTTGACGTATAACTGATATGAAATTCGCTTTGAACAGAAAAAAACCTGTTAAGCAGAGCTATTAGTACGGTGAAAACTAGGGTCTGATTTGTAAAGATTCTTTCAAGAATAGAAGTCATTGGGAAGCTTTCTTATTAAATGCCAATTTGACCACAACGCTAAATAAGATAATAGGGGAAGTAAATACATGTACTAGTGAATATTGAATAACAACATGTGTTTCTAAATTATGCCTCTCGTATGGGAGCCTATGTGGAAGGTTAATTTTATTAAATGCAAGTCTCCAAACCCCATGGTCAAGAAATCACAAATGTAGTTTTCTAGGGAAAGGGTTTGTATTAATGAAAACACCAGCAGGGAAATATGAAGCCAAATCATAAAGCGTTATGGCTTAGAATTGTAAAAGAGTTGTAAAGGAGTAGGTCAAACTCAAACATATGTCAAGGTCAATTTGTCAAAATCATTGATATTCAGGGAATTTGAGAGGACCTAAAACGAACACTATCTGTTCCAATGTCATGACCAATTTTGACGTATTTAGACAGAAACAATACCAAAAAGGTCAGAATTATTAGTTTTGGTTCAAATCTTAATACCCGCATTCAAATTATGTTCTCAATTAAAATAATCCTAAAATTTGATAGCCTTATTTCGGTGGATTTGAAATTTCACAAAGTTTAGATGGTGGGGTATGTAAGAGTAACCAGTCTGGAAGTTTTAAAGTTCTTTTACGCTTTCCTGACAGGAATTGTCTGCCCCCTTCCTTTGTTTCTTATGAGAATAATTTTTACAGTAAACTCTAATTTTCTGTCAATAACTGTAAAATAGTCAATCTTAGTGAAAAGAGGAAAACAGCTGCATGTTCTAATGAATTTTCTATTTCATTTTATCCCCGTGGGGATCCGGGTTAGAATAGGTCCTCAGTACCCCCTTGCTTGTCGTAAAAGGCGACTAAATGGGGCGGTCCTTCGGATGAGACCGTTTAAACCGAGGCCCCATGTCACAGCAGGTGTGGCACGATAAAGATCCCTCCCTGCTCAAAGGCCAGAAGTGTCGAGCATAGGCCAAAATTTGCAGCCCTTCACCGGCAATGGTGACGTCTCCATATCAGTGAAATATTTTGGAGAGGGACGTTAAACAGTATTCAATCAATCAATCAATTGCAATCTCTAACCCATGATTTGAAAAAAAATCTATCAAACATGGAAATATTTACATGATATACTAATATGATGTGAAAAAATTAGTTCTGCTTGTACTTCTACATATTTGATCACGTTTTTCACTAAGGGTATTTTGGCCACATGTAATGGATCAATGTTTAACATAGCATTACATTTAAATGTTAGACCTCTTATAAAATCTGATATAGAACAGCGATATCATATAGATCCCCATTATTAAGTTTAAATTTGTTCGATCGAGACATTGTTCTCTATGTTCGTGTTAAATGTGAAATAAAATCAGGTAAAATCTTCAATAGAACAGTGTGCACTAGGTGAATGAAGTGAGCATTGTAGCCAGTAGACCTCCTTATGTACAGAAGTTATTTTACACCTTGTGTCACGTATGCTAACACGACAAAAATGGAATGTAACAAAGTTAAGATTGAAATATAACCAAAATGGAAGATTCAGCTCCATTTGAAATTCACAACAAACTTTTAAGCGATCTCATCACAGAATATCTAGATTCTTCAGTTAAATCCGATAGAGAGAGGAACTTTACCAAATGGAAGCTGGCGTTTAGAAGCATCAAGGATTCTCCTTTTCATAGAGATTGTCCTATTTTGTGGGACTTTTTCTTCTTGGAGGACACAAAACGTATTGGTATTGGGGAATACAACGTTTTGAGACGTCTTATGACAGACATAGGACATGCTGGAGACAGAATAGGACAAGCTGAGAATTTAATAAGAGAGTCGTCAAAATGTAGCCGAGGAAAACAACTTGGTGAGTGGAGAGTGGACTTTACTCTTTGAGACAAAGTCTATATGGTTATTTAAACACTTTTAAGTTCCAACACTGAAAAAAAGTTATTATTACAAGTATACAACATTTGGTATTAATAATTTCAAAATATAACTTGTCTCTGAGAGAAAATGATTAATTCATGATTATAATATAACTTGTCACTGAGAGAAATTTATTAATTCATGATTATAAATGTATTTACGGTATTTTGATTCTATTTCATCGAAAATTCATATTGCTGTCCGACTTCATTAAACATATTTTCTGCTACTGAAAACTAGTACATAGACAGACCTGTTTACTGGCTAAGAAGACTATAACAATTTTTTTTTCAATTTACCCCCCCCAAAACAGCAACTTTTTGCTGAGGGGCATAGAGGGAAATAATTTATGTTTAGGGAGACAATAAATTTGCTATTGTCCGAATAGTAAGTAAAGATATGTTTTACTATACCAAAACAAACTTGACATGCGTCACTTTTCAATCCTAATAAAACCAGAAGAGTTCTGAGATGAAATATATGGAAAATTGAACGTTGCGGGTAAATAGTTCGATGACTTTTTAACTTAGGACAGATACTATAAGTTGAAAAACTATTTAAACTTAAATATCCCGATGTTTCTTTAGTTAAATTGACTATAAACTGAGTCTGAAATTTTAATTCCGAGTCGGTTAAAAAATTGATTATTGTTTTAAATCTCGGTTATCTATGAAACGCTATTTATTTAAATAGTATAATTTACAGGAAAGTCCTATGTTTATATAATGTAACGAAACAAATAGAAGGTTCTTTTTTGTTTTAGTTGATCTGAACTTATCATAAGTACGCAAAAAATGACTTTTACATTTGGAAAGTACCAAAAATTTTTAATTCTACTGATTAAAAGTAAATAAATTTCTTATATTTACATTATTTTTCTGATGACTTGCCATAAATTTACGCCGTTCAACTGTCATTTTTAAAGCATAACAGTGTGCACTATATTTTACGTCAAGTTCTGTAGCATGACGTAACAAGGGAGATATTCATGCTTTATCGTGGTACATATATGATGTAGTTCATGAGAACATAAACTGCATTTTATTTTACAAAGAAGCATAGATGAAATTTATTTGAAATGTAAATATTTAAAAATACAAATTAGAATATGTATTTTAACCCTCCTTTGATATCTATTGAAACAAAATTGATATATCTTTCAATTGTTCAATTTTTCTGTTTCTGCATTATATGTTTAAATGCATGACATTTTGTGGGTTTTTTTTTTTTCATATAGTCATTTATAATGTAAATGAATGGCATTTTTCAATTCACATAATCTTATTTTTGTTTCTTCGTATCAAAAAGAGTTAAACTATTGTCAGTGGATTTACATTAATAAAAATTAGAATATGTTTCTTTCAGATTATCCCATTGTACTGAAGTCTCGCGCACATGACCTTTTTTATGGAGACAACGTGATCATTGAAGCCGATGGCTTAAGGAGACCGGAGCTTGACTGGTGGAAAATAAAGGAATCGGAAAGACTTCCAAAAAAGCTAGATTTACGAATGGCAAAGTATAGTGAAAGTACGTGTGAAGGGAATCAATCAACCCTTATCTTGAAAGATGTTACTTTTGAGGATGCTGGACTTTATTACATATGTAATAAAACGGGAAAAAGGCAAAGTAACCAACTCCATTTAAAAATTAAAGGAGGTATAGTAGGATAAAACTGGTTGAATTAAATGATTTGTGCAAAACATTTTTAATATATTTTAATTTTTAAATTAATCAGATACCATATGTATTTAAGAGCATTGGCAAGGATTCTGACTATCGTATGACATTTTTCAAGAACTCGAGGGGTATTAATGGCACTAAACATGTTATATATATTCTGCTTCTTTGAACCTACTAATTCCCGTTTCTTTTTAAGATTTTTCCCAAGTTAATGTTTTCCACAATTCTTAACGCATTTCCTGTGTAAAATATTGATAAAATGACCTACGTAATTTGTCATCAAAATAAGATTTCTTAAAACTCATTTATTTCAGAAATATATACAGTGTAGTTTATATTTTATATACATTATTGTATCGTCATTTCCGATGATAATTTAAAATGTTGTCTGAAAATGTAACTATTGAACAGAGAAATATAATAGCCGTATCTTTTACTTCAAGCACACTGTGATATATATAGAAGACATATGAATGGAAGTAAACATTGTTCATTGATGTTACGTCATCGATTTATCAAAATTGCGAGTTGATTGCCACAGCAAGTTTTTTTTCATGTAAATGTTGAATAAATTCCTTTTCGTATGAAAACAAAAATAGGCCTGCTAATAACAGGGCACGATTTGTACCCATGGGAATACGAACAGATTGTTTGAAGACCTGGCCCCAGGATCATGAAACAAATTTTCAATCGCCTATAAAATATTCATGAATTATGGAATTTATTTCAAAATATACAGATAACACTTTTGAGAAGCAATATCTATCCTTCTGTGTTCAATAAACCAGAAGTGAAAAATAGAATTAGATAGATTACATGATCAGTACGTACTTGTTTCTGCCGACAAAGCAGGTAACAACATTGTCTTCGTTTGTAAGGCTCGTTATATAAATTGTATTTAGAAGAACTTGGATTAAATTTTGCAAGTGGTAATCCTACTTATACTCATACCTCCCTTTCTAAGGAAGAAATTCTTCAAAGTCATTTGTCAGTTCTGAATGTTTTTAATATTCAACAGAGCCAAAATGAATTTGAACTACCTTATATATATATATATAGGATTCCGAAACTTCATAAGAATCCTTACAAAGATACATTGCGGGTTCCAGTAAATGTTCAACCAAACCTCTTTCGTTACTTCAAACTAAGATATTGACAGTAGTGAAGAAAAACTTAAAGAGTACTGTGCAACTATATATTCAGGAAGTGGTGTGATCCAGATGTGGATACAAAAAAAAATCCAAAGATTTTTTTTACAATTTGGAATCATAAAATTTTACCAAAATCAACAGCTTAAAAACTTATGACTTTTCAACTTCATACACAACCATTCCCCACGATAAATTAAAATCAAGGCTTTTTGATACCATGAAAAGCTGCTTCTTCAATACAAATGGAACCCGTAAATTTACTTACCTGGCCATTGGTCATTTACAAAATTATTTTGTTAAAACAGATTCGGATTGCACCCACAAGTACTCTGAAATTGACATCAAGAAGATGCTTGAGTGTCTGATTGACAATATCTACATGTATGTGGTTTTTGGAGACCAGGTCTTCCAACAATCTATTCAGATTCACATGGGTACAAATTGTGCTCTGTTATTAGCAGACTTATTTTTGTATTCATATGAAGCAGAATTTGTGCAAAATCTTATGCATGAACAGAAAAAAACCACTTGTTGTGGCCTTCAGTTCGACTTTCAGATATATCGACGACGTATTGTCAATTAAAAATGGTCATTTCCATTTCTACGTCGATACGATATATCCAGGAGAGCTTGAGATAAAAGATACGAAAGAGTCTGACACATCTGTTTCATACTTGGATATTTTACTTGAAAAGGACGTTAATGGTGACATAACAGCCAGGCTACCGGTATATGATAAACGTGACGACTTTAACTTTTCTATTGTCAACTTCCCGTACTTATGCAACAATATACCTTCATCACCTGCATACGGGGTGTATATATCTCATTTGATTCGATACGCAAGAGCATGTTCTACGTATGATCAATTTATAAAACGAGGTAAATTATTGACAGGCAAGTTGATGAAGCAGGAAAACCAGCAGTCTCGCTTAAAGTCATCATTTCGTAAGTTCTATGGTCGATACAATGACCTTGTTAGCAAATACAGTTAATCATTGCTGACTGACGTTTTTCATACCAATTGTTAGTCCATTATTTATACACTGAAATGACGAAAGATTTTCCCGTTTCTTCTTTCACTATCGTAACAAGGAGCATATGGCGGGTGTGACCGGTTAGCTGGGGATGCTCAGTCATTCATGGCAACTGATACCACCTCTAATGTTTTTGAGGTCCGTGTTTGCTATTTTGTATTGTTTTATGGACTTTGAAATTGAATACTAGTACTGTTCGCTATCTCCATATCCTTCATTGAAAAATATTTTAATTTTGTTCTGTAGACTTCTACAACATTTCATTAAAAAATAAAGATTTTGACCTTAGCTAAGATTTTTCATGATCCCAACGCCTGATCTCAGGAAAACATTGACAATTATCAGAAACTGAAGAATCGTTTTACCAACATCTTCAAGGTACTTGTATGTGCAATCAGAATGTTTTAGCAAAATAAAGTTGCAAATGGCAAATTTTGAAATTTAAAGGGAAGTTCATTAAGCTGGTTTTTTTTTATATTAAAAAAAGCAAATGTCTTGATTTCGACAAGCCTGTAATTTAGCCCTTAGAATGGTTTTATAAAGTTTTGAAAAGTCGTAAATTTTTGTGATGTTGATTTTGTTAATTTGTGATTCTAAATTTTCTTGATGTTTATTGGAGTTATTAAGTATGCAAATCTGATTTCAACTCTTCGCAAATATACTATTATACAGTACTAATCAAGTTCTCTTTCTTTGCTGCTAATATTCTAGCGAAAAATAAAAAAGTGAGGCTTGGTGGTATATTTACAGATGTATTTATGTTTGTAAGGATTTATATCGAGTTTTTAGAATCCAGCATAGGTATGGTAGGTGAAATTCACTTTGATTGCTGGAAAATATATTTAATTTTATATATCAGTTATATTCTATGAAAGGCCTTGTCACAGCAATTACATACATGTATGTGGAGTATGAAAGTCATAACCATAATTGTTTAAAAGTTATGTTCAAGGTAAAAGTTTTCTTAAGGACAGATGATACAAACAATTTTTTTCTTTGAAAAAGATTTGATATCATGTTACAAGTTCAGAAATGTGGATGGTTCTTAGAATTTTTTTCTCCTAAGAACTGGAATATGAAAAAGACTTGGAAAATATTAGTAATATTTTAATGAAAAAACAGATATAGGACAAATCACATTCAGTAAAGGTTTACAGGTGAAAACAAATTTCAGAAAATGTTAACATGGTGATAGAAGTGTAATAAAAACTTAAGAAAAATATACCAAGCCAGGTGAATTTTAGTAAGAAAAGCTAAATGGTAAAAATCAGCTTATGTGATATTGCTAATTTTTTGTCATTTTGATCTTCCTCTTAAAATTCACTTGGCTTGGTATATTTTTCTAAAGTTTATATTGCACTTTTAGCGCCAAGATAACATATTCTGAAATTTGTGTTCTCCAGTAAACCTTTACTGATTTTGATTTGTCTATATTTGTTTTTTCATCGAAATATTACTATTATTTTCCATGTCTATTTCATTTTGTAGTTCTTCTGAGAAAAAATTCTAAAAATCCACTTTTCTGAACTTGTGACATGATATTAAATCTTTTTCAAAGAAAAAAATTGTTTGTATCATCTGTCTTTAAAGTATAGGATAAAAGCTAAGGTCAAGATCAAAGGGTAAAAATGTTTGGTATTTCATGGAAGGTTTTTTCACAAATATTGCTAGGTGAATTATAAAAAGCGTGAGTCCTCTCGTTCAAAAGTTATAACGAAGGTTTAAGTTTTTTAAAAGTAGGTTAAGGTAAAGGGTCAACATTGTTGGTATCCAATGAAAAATCATGTTACAAGAAACACATATATGAAGTATGAAAGCCCTAGCCTCATTTGTTCAAAAGTTATAACCAAGGTTAAAGTTGGCTAAGAGTTTGCAAAACTGGATCAAAATCGAAGGTCAAAGTCAACAGGTCAAATTTGGTGGTACCCAAAAAAGGTCTTGTACAAAGGAATATACATGATGTGAAATTTGACCCAACTTTAACCTTGGCTATACCTTCTTGTATTTCTTGTAACAAGACCTTCCGTTGTTGGTATTCTTCCACACATATGTGGCCATATCCTCAACGAATCAAAAGTTATGGGCAGTGTTAAAATGTTTGCGGACAAACAAACAACAGACAGACACATTGACAGGACAAAAACGATATGCCCCCGAATCTACGATTGCGGGGGCACGATAAAAAGAAAACCTAATGATTTTATCTTTTTCCCGAAAACCATGATTTGCCAATGTTCTTAAAGTTTTACCTTAAATAATCATCAATTATTATGCTAGTTGCTGCAGAAATAGTATATATTATTTAGTATAAATTTTAGAACTTCCTGGTGTTTACGTGCGCACGTCATCTTCCAACATTCAATTGGGATACAATTTCGAAATGCGGTGTCACGTGGTCTCTATTCCACCAGCAAAATCAGCTTCATGGTGGAAATTCTCAGAAGAAAGACGGGAAGAAATTAACACAAACTGTGATAAATATGCAGAAAGTTCCTCTGACCCTCAAAAGGAACCAGTTCTAAAAATAAATAGGCTAGACTACGAGGATGAAGGGACCTACTACTTAAGGGTGACAAATGCAGTTGGGCAAGCGGAAAGTAAGCACTGTGGTGTGAAGTTTGATGAAGGTAAATTCTTTTTTTTTTAATTTCAGAAATAAATTCAAATTAATTAAGTTTATCAGGATAGATAAGAAATACTGAGCTTAAAATAATATGTTAATTTAAGGTTTACACGGTAAATCAGTTTACGGGGAATACTCCGCGTAAAACAGCATGATTTTCGGTTACATAGATTTTGCAGCATAGACTTTGCAGCATATTGTTCTTTTTAATTATTTCAACGTCTTTTTATGTCCGAAACAAAAGAAAAATGTTTTCATGACTTACATGTACACATGTTACAAACAATTTCAAACTTATTTTTTTTTGGTTTGGGTACACTAAGACATACTTGTACACAAATCAAGCTCGATAAAATTTTCGAATTTGTATTTGCACTCAATACACTAATTATATTTCTGTTTTGTACACGATTATTTTTTTAAAGACAATTCAACAAGAACAATCAGATACTTTCATCTTATCCAACTTGGCGGAAAATCTTTAATACATTTTGTTGAAAGAAAAATTAATTCATCACTGAAAACTTACCTGGCCGAAAAGGATGAAGAGCTTGGTTTCTTGTTAACCAAATCTCAAATGGAGCAAATCAAAAGTAATTTAATTCATATACTTTATCATAACAAGAATGGATAAACATTACCAATTTTTGAAGATGCTAACATATTAATGTTCTTTACAAAGAAAAAATCCAAATACATATAAACATAAATAAAAATTGAAATAGAAGTGTTATCATGTGAAATGTATTCTGTTTTGTATTGAACTTAACTGTTTTGAGGCGTATGTAACAAGATATCCTATGTACGTATATCTTGTGTATTTTAGCTATACAGAGTCCAGAATCCTTGGATATTTCTGTGCTGTATATAATACTAAAGAGTATGCCTGACATTCAAAGTCCCACCAAAGGATGGGGCAACCTCCCTGGCGATAACGACATCCTACCGTCAGATGATGTTGAAAGAATTCAAATACATTACGAATTTATGATACAACAAATGGATTCACATACGATGTCATCATCTCTTTTTAAAGAGAAATGGAGCCATCTTTCTCAGGTAAACACTACACTGCAGATACCACCTATGATATTTTAAATATAAGATTCTTTCTTTGGTTATAAGTATTGAAATTAATGTTGCCCTTGGTGCAATGATAATTCCCATACTAAAAACAATAGAAAGCATATTATACTCTATATTCAATACCGGTACTTGCATTACTAAAATGTGAATTATCTACTTGTGCTGACACGTTATTTTGCCTCTTCATCACAATCAACAAAAATAATCCCTTTCATTTCTTTTGGTTTTATTGTTGTTATTAAATGAATCAATTAAGCTAGATTAATCAAATATCTGGGGCAATATTCATAGCCGTAGGAACTATGAAGGAACCGGGAGGGGGTCCCCCTCAATACGGTGAAAGATCTCAACCCCCTTTTCTGTTTGTTTGAATTCCATTGCTAATGCATCAAAATTCTTTTGATATAATATATTTAGACATAAAATGACTTAAACATGTATTAATTTTGATTTAATGGACCAGGCGAAATGATTGAAAACTGCAGAGCACTGTAATATACAGATAAAAGTAACACTCTCAAATATTTTTTGTCAAAAATAATTAAGTTTAAATATCCAAAAAAAAAAAAAAAAAAAAAAAAAATCCTTAAACGAGCAAAATTCAAATCACGGCAAGGCCAAAAATCTTTTACATGTATCTCAACATAATTTTTCTGGCTGATTTTTCTGACTGGTTTGCCAATGCATAGAACACTATAGAAAACATAGCTACGGCATGTATGTGCCTATGTCCTTTCAATAAAAACTACTGATGACCATTATTTGATTGTTACGGTAATTTATGTAGTTGATAGTGCCCCCTAAATGAATGTATGTAAAACTTTGTGAGTCATCAACTCTTTCTAACTGAATTTGCTTTATATAGGCCTGATACGGGTCCACTCAGGCTGATATGACATATGATATGGATTTTAGTTTGTCCCAATCTTCATTTTCTTACCCTTTCTAGTTTTTCTTAACAAAATGTATGAAAAACAAAAAGAGTATGCTACATTTTGTTTAAAATTTTATTTAAGGCTATTCAAAGATTAAGCACATTTGTTCAAGAACGTCAAATCGATGATATTTATTTCTCTGAACTGGACCAAAGTGCATTGAAAAAGAGTCTTAAATCAATCAAAGACAATACAGAAAGGGATTTGAAATCACAATCAGAGAAAAAAAGTGAGTATGAGAAAAAGCTAACAGAGAAAACAAGCAACAACCGTAACAGTAAACAAATCAACAAACAAAGCAGAGAATGAATCAAGAGTTAAAAAAGCTATAAACGAGCAAAAAAAAAAAAAAAAACAACAAAATAAGAAAAACAATAATATATATCCATTCTATGTTTTATCGTGTTTAAAACATATTTCAGTACTCCCAGTCATCGAAATTCAAGGACCAGAATTAGTGAGGTACCATAAAACTGCTGAAATCACCGGCACTATTAAGTCTCCAAACGAAATATTACACGCTGCCTGGAAGAAAGAAAGCAGAAATATTGACATATCTACCCCAAAATATCGTGGAAGCATTGATAATGGAACAGATGCAAAACTCATCATTAAGAAAATGGACACAGATGATGTTGCTAATTATAATCTGATAGTGAAAAATGAATCAGGAATGACAAGAAGCAATGCAATATATCTAAGGATTAAAGAAGGTATATTAGTATCTTATGTAGTCCTCCGCTGTTCTTGTTAGACTGTAGAAAGTTAAAAGTGAAATTTTCATGTCAAGAGGCCTATCTTTATGTGTACCCATTTTCTTAGAAGGAATAAGTAAACTAGACCTGTTGATTTTCCATTCTTCATGTTTTGTTAATTACATGTATACTAGTATATTAGGTGGAAGTTTGCCTTACATCATTACACTTTCCACAGGAGGGCAAAATCAAGCCCTCCAAACTGTCAGAAAGAGCAAACTTTATATGTAATATCCAATTGATTCTTTTGCCTTTTCATTGAAAATATTGTAAATAAAATATATGTCTCATGAAACTATTAGACAAAAGACTCTACTCTGCTAAATTTTAAAGAAAAAGGTATGGTTTCCATACAAATTTTGCCCTGTGATTTTCTAAAACATGAAACTGGTGTAAATGTTGAAAACTAATGCTATTTAAATGATTGGAATTCAATGCAGAAAAATCATACAAGTCATTTTTCTCACATGTGTTTTTAAATGTTAATTATGACGTCATAAACATGTGTATTTTCCCGTATTTTCTTAAAAAGTTGCAGAAGACACCAACTTTCGATGGAATTTTCTTTCGGATAACATTGTCCACAGGCATTGCCCACAAAGATCTTGAAATATGTGATTTGTTATAGAATTTTGCACAAAATATCAAAAAATTAACATGGGCGACGGCTGTGGACACTGTTTTCTAAAGGAAAATCACCCTTGAAATGTGCCATTTTGAGGCTTTTTCTGTTGAAAATGGAGAAATGCTTCACATTAATGACATAATATTTGCAGAATGATAAACCTTCATGCCATATTCTTTCCTGATTTATCAGAGTCATTTATTTAACTAATATTTAAGGCAGTTTCAAAACTTTTTGATGTCATTACATTTTTAGGGCGCAATAAAGCTAAAACCATACCTTCTTCTTTGCTTGAAATCATGACTCTTTGATTCATTATTTTCAAAAGGAAAGCCAAAATGTGAAATTTTGGGAGAAGCATGCAGAATGGTTTCAATTGGAGGGTCTGAAACTTTGCAAGGAAAAGTGAAATCATATCCAAAGCCAGTAACTTTACAGTGGATTAAAATTAGAACTTCAGCAGACATAAAATTAGATATAAAATCTCATAAGTACCAAGGGAGCAAAGATCACCTACGGAAACCTACTTTAATGATCAACAACATAGATTTAAATGACTATGGAATATACATACTAAATGTTAAGAATATCAAAGGCACAGCAAACAGCAAAGAAATTAAACTTGATATTGAAGAAGGTATTCTGAATTTTAATTTAAAATATATGATGTTATAATTATATTGATTTACTTCATCCAATAACTGCAGGAAAATTTGCCTCAATCTCTCAATACCAAATTTGATTCCAGGCTTACCCGTTGCACACATAACGGAAGTACCAGTTGCTCAACAGTTCTTATGTCTCGCTGAAATATGCAGTATTCCCAACCCACTGTACGTAAAGTGGCAAAAGGTGATCAATAATAAAGCGAAAAATATTAACATTTCTATACCGAAGTACAGAGGGAGTTCTGAGGATCTTTCGAGGCCGAAATTGGTTGTTCAAGATCTCGAGCCAGCGGACACTGCCAAATATCATTTAATTGTCAAAAACCCAGTCGGAAAAGGAAGGAGCAATCAAATTCCATTACATGTTAAAAGTATGCATCTTCTTTCGAAGTATATGAATAAATTCATAATTGGAACTAACTAGTATTTGAATCTAGTAGGGATGTCAAAATTGTCAATAATTGATATTCGAATATTCGATAGTGGTATTCGAATATATTCGAATATTCGATAAAAATAAAATACATCTTGCATTATAATATATCTTCACTCTTTTGCCAAGCAATATACATTATTTTATGCCATTTTTTGGAATAAAATCTTATGTAGAGTTTTGTAAATGCAAAGTAGTTATATTCTAAAAATATTTTACAGAATATATGAAGATTTTACATCCCAAATGTGATGATTTTTTCCGGAAATTTCAAAAGACTCTTACAGTACATGTACTTCTCAGATTAATTAATTGTCTTACCAAAGTATACACATATAACCCCTACAGATTTACACCAGACAGAACAATTATGTAATGGAAAAAAATTAAAAGCGATTACTTTTAGCCAATTAATTTCCTGATAATGATTTAAAATGATATAGACAAACAAGGGATCCATGTGTTTACTTTAAAATTGTGTCCTAACAATACAGACTAATTGCAATTACTGGATACTGTTATACCACTATAATTAAATGATCAAATGGATTATTTATATATATATTAATTTAATAGATACACTCTTCACACCATTAAGGTTATCCAAGAGGATTGTCTTTTAATTTATTAATATTCGAATCATAAATTTATATTCGAATATCAACTCATCGAATGAATATTCGAATATTCGAATATTCGTTGACATCCCTAGAATCTACTCTAATTAGAACTCGAATTAGTCGTTATGATTTCATGAAAAATGTTTTATTGTGTAATTTTCCAAATATTATTTTTTTTAAAAATTTTATTTTACCCCTCATCTTTTTAAATAACTGTATGTAATGTACTTTTATATTTGTTTCTGTTAGCGTATTTACTATTTGGTTTGGCAGATTTATAAGATATGATGACCTTGATTTGTCATTTGCTTGGTACAAAAGTAAACTACTAGTATTCGTAAAAAATGCATCTTTTAAAAACTGAAATATCTAGGATTTTGTTTTCTTGATTTCAGCAACCACAGTCAATTAAATCGTCTTTGAAAGTCGATCTAGAGTCAAAGGACGAAACGAAGAAAGATTTAAGCACCTGCTTTTCTGACATTCTTTGTAAAACATTGAATTCCATTTTAGAAGGAATTGGAGACTTTTCAAATCAGGATAAGTTAATGGATTATTTGTCGATGTATGAAAAGCTTGGCCAAAATGTTGAACTATCCAATTATCCGGAAATTCAAGAGATTGTGGTAAAGACTGATAGATTGTTAGAAAATTGGAAAAATGAGACTGACTCATGTCAACGTGAAGACGTGCTCAAGAAATATTTTTATATTGTTTGCAAAATGATGACAACATATAACATAACAAAAGGCAGGTGCAGTCGGGGTTCCATTAACATTGAATTAGAGTTTCCTAACAGGGGAAGTTTTCTGAAATTTGAAAAAGATGTTAAAGAAGGCGACATGAAAGGGAATCTGGAAGACATTCTTCTTTTTCAACCCTTAATGCAAAATTTAGACTTGAGTGTGGAACCCAATGATTTTTTTGTAGGTTTTGGAGACGTTCAAGAAAAACAAAGCACAAAAGGTATTTTATCAATCTTTAACAATTCTATTAAAAAAAAAACTGATTGAGTAAAATGAGACATGTTAAAATAACATAGCAAATTTTATTAAGAAAGATGATAAATTAAATGATACATGTTAAAATAAGAAAAAAATAATGGCTTTGAAAAACATAGTTATTTTAGAACAGATGAGATTGAAATATGTGTTGGATGAATTTGAAATTATGATGTTAAATACGAGTACATGTATATGAAATGTTTAATATAGGAACTGATCTCTTTTATTTGCAATTAAACAATTAGTTGTTGTTTTTTGGGAGTTGAACTATGTTCAGACTCCCTAGGCCATCACGCGGTTTCTAGCGCAGTAATTTCACAATGAATTATCTAGCAGCCGTCGTGGTGTTTCTGTGTCGGCCAATTTACTCCCCTGTGATATTCAATACAAACTTGTACCAGTCTATATAAACTCGAAGAAACTTCCTCAATAAAAATAGTCCATCTCATTTTTCTGAATTAATCTAATTTTCATAAATGATTTGAAAGTAAATGAAATAGAATTTTATTTAACTTAAATTGAATTGCATATTTTTGTCATCTTTCTTGAGAAATGACACGTAAATTTTGATTTCTGTATGAAAAAAAAGTCCCAGTTTTCCGTCATTTATCATTCGGCAATTCTCGGCTGACTTCATGCACTACGCTCCATTACAAAAAGTGCGAGGTAATCCAAGGAGCAACAACTGGTCTAACTGGTTTGACAATGACGCGATTGTCTAAATATAGAGATGTAAACAAAGATGTAAGGTCAAAGGAACGCTATTCTAAGGTTTAACCAAACTTCTTTCAATTTGTTTCAGCAATAAAGAGACAGAACAACGTTTCTTAAAAAAAAAAATAATGCGGAAAATTTCACTGTCAGACATTTATTTGCTCAGACAAGTAAAATGATCTGTTAGACTGGAAAATTTTTGTCAGACCAGATACATGCAAAACATTTTTTTTTATTTTGGTAAATGGAAAAAATAATAGCATTAAAGTTTTATTTGTTGATATTCGATCTCACAATTTGAAATGACATTAATTTTGTATTCTTAATTTCATGAATTTATCAGCATTCAGTTGGACACGTGTACAACACCAAATCTGAACTTGAAAAATGTGTATGTACTTGCATTGCAGTATTACCTTATAAAATGTATCATTTGATTTCATAATTTAATTAAAACAGTTAAAATAAATGAATACATGCGTATGCACAGACACAATGGGATAATAATCCCAATTATCTATCTGTGAGAAAGATCGTTCCTCATGATTACAACTCAATTTTTTTCTTGTAGTAGCTCGTTAAACTATGTCTGATTTTTAATTACATTTGAATCAAATCAAAATCACAAACTTTAAGTGTAACTCGCTAGGCGCAGTTGTTAAAATAGTTTGATCTTAAGATTCAAAGTGAGGTATTAATTGATCCTTACGTCGCAGGTTCGAATCCTGTGGGATGCATTTGGAGATATACTCTTTTGATGAGACATATAAACCGAAATCCCATGTCGCAGTATGTGCTTGCACAAAACGATCCCTCACTACTCTATGGTTTTGAGTGCCGGGTATAGGTAAAAATTTGTAGACTTACATGTAACTAGCTCAATCGACAAGTGGTAGTGTCTCAATTTGATTGAAAAATTATCGAACGTAAAACAAACAAAATGTAAAGTATTCAGATACTTACTTTAATATAGAAATTACTTGAAATTATGGAATAACAAAACTTGATTAAGTTATAAAGATATATACAATTGATAAAATAGATAAGCATGGAGTTCTATAAAAATTTATTTTTGTGTCCGAAAAGAAACATTTATACCCAAAAGAGAATAACAAATACTTGTTTTAATCAGAGGAAGAAAAATGACATTCTAGTGTCTGGTGATGGTAACATCGAATATAAAGAGTGTTTGTTTGTTTGTTTCTTGGGACCAAATATCTTGTACACATTATAAAGAAAGTAGGGGGCGTTTTGATTCAAATCTTTCAGAAATATAAGGGTAGTGTTTGAGTTTGAGTAATATATGGTACTGAAAGAAGTTTGAAACCTCCCACAAAAATAGTATTTTCGAGTTTGGAAAAAAAAATTTTGGTGGTGGGGGTTGTTTGTTTGGTATGATCAAGTTGTTGAGGTAAGAATTAGAAAGAATAAATCCACAGAACTAAACTTAACGGTTCTTGCGCAATAAATATACAGTTTTTTCAATGAATGGCTCTGTAGCTCTCCGGTCTGTCAAAATCTTTTTTCGGAGAGCTACAGTTCTGCAGCTAATTTAAGAGCAGTCCCATGATCTTGGCTATTCAAATGCAATAGAAATTATTTTGAATGTTAAGTGTTGTATCTCTAACAAATCAGTTCTACCTAACTTGAATCTGAAAGCATGAAACTGTTCCTATACTTCCTGTGTGTACTTTCAGATAACGATTTTCAACTCCCGGGAGTACTTTCAGTACTTTGATTTTTACACAGATATCGATTTAATACGATTGCCAGAGAGTGACGTTTTTGCTGCGGCAATTGATCTTGGAAATACATATTCAAGCTATGTATTTTCGGAAATGATTTCAACAAAGACCACTGCTAGTTTGATTAAAAAGAAACACGGCCATCTTGAGAAAATCCCTACTGTTCTTCTGCTAGATAAAGACCTGCAAATTCATTCATTTGGACATAAACCAAGAGAGGAGTACACACACCTTCGAGGACAAAAGGAAGCTGAAAATCTCTTTTATTTCGAAAACTTCATGACTCTGATATATGAAACAAGCACAAAGGTAAAAAAAAGAAGATATTATTTGAGCTATGAGCTAAAAAATGATACTTTTTGCCTCCCATATGAGTAGAATGGCAAAGTACAGATTTTACTCTGGGAGACCAGAAATAATTAATCGATAAAAAAGTTTGAAAAGGTATACAGGTACGACGGCACTATGTAAAATTATCATCAAATTTTATTCAATGGTCTAGGAGGTGCGGATAAGAGATGGGCACCCTTCAATATTATAGAACAAATTGTAGTGTCCCTGTTTCGCGGTGGAAATCCAAAAATTCTATTCGACGGTACACAATGGCAAAATGTAACGCAGAATCTGTAAAAAATTCCATATTTTATAAACAAAAGTGTCCAAAAACAAACCTGAATTAAGGAGGATCTCTACACCTATATAGTATAACTGATTTTTGGTGCATGCATTTGTTTCTAATAATAGGCTGAATGTCCGATAAAATAAGGTTCCAAAGTATTTCAATTTATTTTTTGGAAATATTGAAAATATTTTATTTATTTTGTTAAAACCCTTTCTATCTATGTTTTACAAAGCCCAGTGCTTTACATTTCTCTTCAAAGTTTAATACTATAAAATATTGAAATAATAATCAACAAATTTAAAAATAAAATCAACATAATTTTAATTTAAATTTACAAAAATAGAGAAAAGAAAAACGAAAACAGCATTTTCTTGAGAATAGCTGGTTGGATCTTCTCCAATATCTGTAAAGATATATAATATCAAAGTGTAAAAACAATGAAAAAAAAGAAATTGAACAAAATTGAAAAACTGTCAAAAATTGCAAACATCACAAAAATCCAGGTGTGAGAGATCCGCTTTAAGAGTGGGCTCAAATATCTTGGTAACGTTTTTTTTTATAACCTTCAAATAAACTCGACTATAACTTGCACAAGTATTGAAAAATTGTCAAGCAAGGATATTGAAAGAAGTTAGTATTGTACATGTATTGTTTTTCAAATGAGTTTAAGCATAAACCACCACGTTTCCAGTCATGTATTAAGTGAATTCATGGTATTGAGAAGAGTAGATTTACTTACCGTTTTTATCCAACTTGCATGTGTTATCCAGTGCTAGATATAACAAAACATGGTAAATGGCCAAAAGCGGGTAAAAGAAATTCCTTTAACCAAATTCACACTTCGCCTAAATGCGTCCGTCGACGTCACTTACGGTCAAACCGGAAGTAGTCAGAAAATGCATATTTCTGTCGTTCTTGACAAGTTTTTGGGTAACATATGTCACTGGATGCATAAAACTTATTTTTCCATCCATCGACATCACTTCCGGTCAAACCGGAAGTAGCCAAAAATAGCTTATTTTCTAAGGTTTTGATGCAAAATTGAAATTATAAAGTGACTGGAGACGACTAAGCTCATTGCTTTCTTTTTTTGATGTCACTTCCGGTCAAAACAGGACGGAAGACCTACTAGTTGCTTTGCAACGAGCTTTGCTCTAGTTAAATTTCTTTTCTTGTCATAGCAAAAAATAACATTTTCATGATGATATCACATTTAATAAGAAAATTATTTAAAAAAATGAAGAAAGCATGTAAGTGTACACCGGCGCACGAAAGCAAGCGTATTTTACGTCTCTCATGACGTCATAATTTTTTTTCTGCTTCACATGCGGGTATTAAAATCTGAATGAATATTTTTATAGTGAAAAACCACTCTTGACTAAGGGACTTATTCAAATTCACTTCTGTCCATTTTGTTAAGGAAATTCAAATTTTAGTACAAAATTGGTTGAAAGATCGCCTTACATTTTAGGCAGCAGAGAATACACGTTGTTTGACGACGTTAATGGCCCAGAACGTTCCCAGATGTCTGCGTTTAACAAACAGTACTCTACTTCTTACATGCCATAACTATATTTTTCGTCATAAAGAAAAATTAAACTATCTTTGAATCTCGTGCTGTTTAAAAACAACTCTTTTGAAATCTAGTGTGTAATGTCCTTTCTGAACTCTTTTCCCCGTCTATGACGAATATTTATCATACAAAAACAATTTATTACAGTTCCTTGCGCCGGTTACGCGTTCGACAACGTCATTTACATCAATCTCAATTCCAACAAGACTTTGAAAATCATGACTTTAGTCATCTGTTTCTAATTCAATTCATATGAAATTTTTACATCTTATTAAGATTTTGATTCTGGTTTCAGTAATTTAAATTTAAGTTCAATCTTTTACATAGTACCAAAGAAATAAAGGCAAATGTAATAGTCATATGCGTAAATTATTCCGAATTTTGGTCGTGCGCCGACAGGCCATATCCGCATTCACATAAATCGTCCCAATACACTTAATATCAAAGATATATATTTAAGAATTCACAATTTTAAAGAACATTAAATTTATTATGTCTATGCAAAATTTGGTTAGTATTGGTTGCGTGTTAAAAAAGTTATCAACATTGTCTACGACTTTTTGGGACAACCCTCGTATTATTTAATAATTACATAAGTAGAAATTGAATAAATTGACAAACAATTCATTTTTTTGAGAAAGGATACGTGCTGGGTAATACACTGTATTAATTGAGGCGATACAATGTACATTCCATCCACAAAATTGCATGTTGTGTTATACTCAGTGATTTATCGGTGTTAAGTGAATTTGAATCAGATCAATTGAGATCAAAATTGCGTTTCAACGGAAGTACGCCATGTTGTGACGTTGTAGAGAGCCCCCTTAACGAGATTCTTTGGATGTCAATTGCTCATAATAAAAGTTATTGGTGTACCTAAAACGGTTTTAATTTTATGGCGCTGGTCCATGAATTTTACTTTAGATATTAGTACCTCCTCGTATGCACAAAGCTGAGAAAGATATGTACATCTTTGCTAGATTTTCATAATTGTTTGAATTGTGGACTAGTTCCTTAGATCGATACCGCGTAAAATACGTTTGCAGTACATTTTTAACATTTTTTCTATGTACATTATTAATTATAGAACACATAGGTCATTTTAAAGAAACTAAATTTTTACTAAATACGAGGGTTGTCCCAAAAAGTCGTAGAAAGGTAAAACAGTTTTGTTTCTCTTTGCTTTATTAAATTTCTTTCCTTGTCATAGCAAAGAGTAACATTTTATCATCATGCACTTCAAGTTTCATGATGATATCACATCTTATAAGAAAATTTTGAAAAAATAAAGAAAGAATATAAGTGTAAACCGGCGCACGAAAGCAAGCGTAAATTACGTCTCTTATAACGTCATGATCTATTTGTCTGCTTCCCTAGCAGGTATTAACATTCAATAATTTTTTTTAAAGTGAAAGACCACATTTGATTAAGGGAAATATTTAAATTCACTACTGTCCGTTTGTTTTTACTTGTTTTTTTTTTTTTTTTTTTTTAAAGCAGATTCAAATTTTAGTAGAAATTTAGTCGAAAGATCGCCTTACATTGTAGGCAGCAGAGAATACAAATTGTTTGACGTCGTCCGAGGTCCAGGTTTTTCCGAATTGCCTGCGTGTAGCAAACAGTACACTACTTCTTACATGCCGTAATTAACTATTTTCGGTACAGAAGAAAAACTCTCATTGAATAACGTGCAATTCAAAAATAACTTCTTTATTAAAATCTGGCATGTAATGTCACTTCTGTACTGTTTTTTTCCATCTCTGGTGTATATAAACCATATCCAACACAATTTATGACATATCCGTGCGCCGTCTACGCATTTGACGACGTCATTTTCATCAAACTAAATTTCAACGATACTATGAAAATCAAGACACCAATCGTCTGTTTCTAATGCTATTTAAATGAAATTTTGACATAATGTTAAGATTTTAATTCTGATTTCAGTGATTTAAATTTGAGTTCAATGTATTATATAGTACTAAAGAAAAAAAAAGCAAATGTAATAGTTATATGCGTAAATTTTTCCGAATTTTGTCCGTGCGCCGACAGGCCTTATCGGCCATCATATAAATCGTCCTAATATCATTAATATGAAAGATGTATTTAAAAATTCACAATTTTAAAGAAAATTAACTATATTATGTCTTTACAAAATTTGGTAAGTATTGGTTGCATGATTTAAAAATTATAAACATTGTCTACGACTTTTTGGGACAACCCTCGTATGAACATAAATATCTACACAAGTCAACGAAAAGCGGACCATTTTCTCTTTATCTCTGTGACTGCGTCTCCTTAGCCGGTAACAAACCAAGAATTTTCTGACGGACACTTACATATGAAAGACATGATTAACTCGTAATAACGAAATCTTTTCTTGTAATTACGAGATAATTAACTCGTTATAACGAGATCTTTCTTCGCAATTACGAGATCTTTTCTCGTAATAACGAGATAATTAACTCGTTATAACGTGATCTTTTCTCGTTATTACGAGATCTTTTCTCGTTATTACAAGATAAAAATATTTTTTATGTGGCCCTATTCGTCTTTAACTAGTAATAACGTGATCTTTTCTCGTAATAAGGAGATAATTATCTCGTAATTACGAGATCTTTTCTCGTTATTACGAGATAATTAACTCGTAATTACGAGATCTTTTCTCGTAATAACGAGATAATTATCTCGTAATAACGAGATCTTTTCTCGGAATTACGAGATCTTTTCTCGTAATAACGAGATAATTATCTCGCAATTACGAGAAAAGATCTCGAAATAACGAGATAAAAATATTTTTTTTATGTGGCCCTATTTGTCTTTAACTCGTAATAACGTGATCTTTTCTCGTAATAAGGAGATAATTATCTTGTAATTACGAGATCTTTTCTCGTTATTACGAGATAATTAACTCGTAATTACGCGATCTTTTCTCGTAATTACGAGATCTTTTCTCGTAATAACGAGATCTTTTCTCGTAATAACGAGATAATTATCTCCTAATTACGAGATAAATATATTTTTTTTATGTGGCCCTATTCGTCTTTCGTATTTACATGTATCTCTTCTTTGTCCATTTTTACAGAGTGTGGATAGAAACATTCAAATACCTGACGCGCAAGGAAGGAATGTCAGTGCCAAAATCATCATAAGCCGATGTGCTTCGTATATGATAGAACGAGCAATAAGACATATTCGGGAAGAATTCGCCCACGTTCTGCTGAGTAGCTTTAAGTTTGTCTTTACCTTGCCAACATTTTGGTCTCTAGCAGATGGATTTTTCAAGGATGCTCTAAGTGAAGTAAATAATGCCTTACATTCAATCATTACAAGAATTTCTTAAAACAGTTCTCTTAAAAGACCTTTTCATCATTTCAAAGAAAAGAGCCAAATCTTTACTCGAACATATCAGAAAATAAAATAATATAAACCTTATTTAATTTCATACAAACTTCTTTGAGTTGATACTCAGATGTATTATGAAAAGATGCATGCCAACTTTCAGAAATCTGTTACATATCGATATGTGTGCGTCCATTTAGAGTAAAATATCGTTAATCTATTATCAGCTCTACCTTAATATTTCAGCTATCTTTGGAAAAAAATCAAGTGTTTACTATACTGGAATCTCATGCCGTTTCATTGTCCTGTCAGATAGAGCATGTTGAAGATACTGACGTCACATTGAAAACCGCTTTTCGCAATTTTACTAAGGGAGAGAAATATATGATAGTTGACATCGGTGGTAATTTTTTTTAATGAAAAAGTCATTTGCTTATTCCAGGAATTTTCTCTGTTTATTTGCATGCTTTTAATTTTTAGGTCACCTGAGTAACTCAGGTGACCTATTGCTATCCGTTTTCGTCCGTCGTCGTGCGTCATGCGTCGTGTGTCGTGCGCCGTGTGTCGTGTGTTAACATTTGAACATTTTCATCTTCTTCTCTGAAACCACTGAACCAATTTCAACCAAATTTGGAATACAGCATCTATGGGTGGAGAGGAACCAAAATTGTGAATTTCATGGTCCCCGCCCCCAGGGGCCTGAGGGGTGGGGCCAAAACCACTAAAATGATTGCAATCTTTAAAAATCTTCTTCTTTACTCCTGGACATCAAGCAGGCAAACTGTTGGCATGAATGTTATGAGCATTGAGTTCTCTACTAAAATTGTGAAATTCATGGCCCCAGGGTCTGGGGTTCTGGTGTTAGGGCGGGGCTCTATAGATTGTATAGTGAAAATACATTATTTCTTTGAAAATCTTCTTCTCTGCTCCTGGGTATTAAATAAACTCACTAAGCACATAGTTATGATAAGCAAGAGTGCCTCTTCCAGATTTGTGAATTTTATGGCCCCAGGGTCAGGGCTTCTGGTGTTAGGGCGGGTCTCTATTGATTATATAGTGAAAATGCATTTATTCTTTGATAATCTTCTTCTCTGCTTCTGGGTTTTAAATAAACTTACTAAGTACATAGTTATGATGAGCAAGAGTGCCTCTTCCAGATTTGTGAATTTTATGGCCCCAGGGTCAGGGGTTCTGGTGTTAGGGCGGGGCTCTATTGATTTTATAGTGAAAATGCATTACTTCTTTGAAAATTATCTTCTCTGCTTCTGGGTATTAAATAAACTAACTAAGCACATAGTTATGATGAATAAGAGTGCCTCTTCCAGATTTGTGACTTTTATGGCCCCAGGATAAGGGGTTCTGGTGTTAGGGCGGGGCTCTACTGATTATATAGTGAAAATGCATTATTTCTTTGAAAATCTTCTTCTCTGCTTCTGGGTATTAATGTAGCGGGTATTCCCGGCAGTATGATGGAAAACACCAGTTGAAGTTTTATATATTTATTACGTTGACATCTTTAGCTGATTATAATTCGGACAATTTGGAAATAATGGAAACAATGGATATGTCCTGCAATATACAAACTGCGTCATAAAAATATGTACAAAATAGTATTTCAATTAAATATTCCGATTATAAAATATAAAAATTATCTGTCTTCCCTTTTACAATTAATTATCAACATTCACTATGATAACACACAAGAAATATACTCGACACATGATATAAGGGCGTTAACTCTTATAACACAATTACACTTTAAAATCTTCTGAAGAGTTATCTTTCTTTGATATTTCTTTACAAATCATAAAAATATATATACAGATAGACATACCAATTTATGGAATTGAACTTTCTCCAATTCAACTATACATTTCTTTAATTTATGGTGTTACCTATGTACAATAAATAAAATATTCAGGATTTGTTCTTCACAAAAACCTTTCTCAAAATAAATAATTATTTAGATTATCTTGATTACCAAAGTCTTCACTTCAAACTATTTTCAGGTTTATATACAGATTGATCTTTGAGAAAACTTCATCAGATTTATCAATATCTGAATAAATAGACAGATAACTTAATATGTTAACATTTAAAAGTAAAATATCTTGTTTTCCACATTTTTAACATAATATTATAGAAAACATATGTAATGGCATAAAACAAGTAAAAACTTACATTTCAGGAATTGTCCAAGGTCTCAAGTCTTTGGAAAATAAATTACAGTCAGCAACAAAATAAACTAGGTCTTCTCCATTCAAAATCAGAATTTTAGAGCTTAAACTGAATAAAACTCACTACCCCACAAAGACCAAAACACTAACCAATGAAAACCAAGCATTTCAAAAACTGACCAATAGATATGTGTGTGGTCATGTAAAAGTGTATGTACAGGTGTGGATCCAAAGGGGTGTATATCTATATAACTAAATACCCAAGTTAGTAAAGAAGGAAAAGAATAAAGTTTTAACGGAAAACTATCATTTATAATTTATTTAATAGTTTATTTAGTTTATATTTAATATTTATTTTATATTATTTAAAATCACTCCAACTTTTATTATTTTAAATAAAAGTACCTCTACTACATTAAATAAACTAACCAAGCACATAGTTATGATGAGCAAGAGTACCTCTTCCAAAATTGTGAATTTTATGGCCCCAGGGTCAGGGGTTATGGTGTTAGGGCGGGGCTCTATAGATTATATAGTGAAAATACATTATTTCTTTGAAAATCTTCTTCTCTGCTCCTGGGTATTAAATAAACTCACTAAGCACATAGTTATGATAAGCAAGAGTGCCTCTTCCAGATTTGTGAATTTTATGGCCCCAGGGTCAGGGCTTCTGGTGTTAGGGCGGGGCTCTATTGATTATATAGTGAAAATGCATTTATTCTTTGAAAATCTTCTTCTCTGCTTCTGGGTTTTAAATAAACTAACTAAGCACATAGTTATGATGAGCAAGAGTGCCTCTTCCAGATTTGTGAATTTTATAGCCCCAGGATAAGGGGTTCTGGTGTTAGGGCGGGGCTCTACTGATTATATAGTGAAAATGCATTATTTCTTTGAAAATCTTCTTCTCTGCTTCTGGGTATTAAATAAACTAACTAAGCACATAGTTATGATGAGCAAGAGTGCCTCTTCCAAAATTGTGAATTTTATGGCCCCAGGATTAGGGGTTCTGGTGTTAGGGCGTGGCTCTATTGATTATATACTCAGTAGTAAAAATAATTTTTTTGAAAATATTTTAATTTGCTTCTGGGTTTTATGCCAATATATTTATGATTAAGAAAGGTGCATCTAGCAAATAGTTTTTTTATGCCCCCAGGGTCAGAGGGGGGGGGGTACATAGTCTGAAAATAAAGGAATGCTTTGAAATCTGCTCTTTAGTATTAATCAACCATTTTATGATAAATTTGCAAAATTTTGAATATGTGGCCCATGGGTCAGTGGTTCCTTTAGGGTGAGGTGCACAACTGGGTATAAAGTGGAAGTGCATTTTCTCTTTGTTACTCTGATATACCTCTGGGTATTAAGTAAATGGAGTAAACATGCTAAGTTTATAATTATGATAAGCAATGGTGCCTCTTTAAAAATTGTAAATTGTGAATTTCATGGCCTCTGGTTTAAAACACGAATCAAATTTAATTGTTTGAAAGTTGTTACACAATACTGAGGTGACCTATAAGGCCCGTGGACCTCTTGTTAAAATTACTCGTTTACTAATTAATGCAAAATATCAATTATTACATACAGAACATATCAAATATGATCCTACTTTCAGCCACTTGTATAACAGTTTAACACATCAAGGACACTATTCAAATTTTTATTGAGAGTTTTTGTGTTAAAATGGTACATGTAATATTAATTGCGATTATTATTAAATTGACATTTATTTTTTTCAAAGGAGAAACAACGGATATCACTGTGCATTCGAGAACAAATTTGGCAAAGGGTATAGACAAGGTTGTTTTTCAATATACGGGTCTTGTGGGAGGTAACAATGTCAACGAAAAAATGATAGATCTTCTGAGAAAAAAGTACAGTACGTATTTTTGACAAACTAGGAATCCTGACACCTTTCAGCATCAGTTCCAATCCTCCATACGGATACCAGATACCCAGGAGATACACCTTCATGCTCCAGGAATGGGTCAAGAAATGATTATAAACACTGAAGAACTTGACAGTATTTTTGATGAACCCATTAAACAGATACTCAAAAATCTGAAGGACGTTTTCAATAAGGAAAAAGTCGATGTAGTAATTTTGGTGGGTGGATTTGCAGAATGCATAAGAGTTCAGCCTGCCATTAAAGACTTTTTTAAGGATAAAACTGTCCTTATACCCAAAGAACCCGGCCTTTTTATGATTAAAGGTGGTGTGTTTTATTTAGAGCAGTTGGTAAACCAATCATTGGAGACTTATGAAGTAACGATTTAAAATAAACAGTTAATGTTTCAAACTAAGTTACAATTGTAGCTTTATTTCATAAGTGTATTAGACTTTGTATACCATGTCTGTACCTTACATATTTTAAAAATATACATGTAAAATGTGCCTATTTTCCCGAAAATGTATCTTTAAAACATTTGATATTTGAAATGCATATACAATTTTTAACCTGATCTTTGATAAACAAGTAAAAGAATAGGCCATTCGTGAGGCATTCACCATTAAAAAATGTGTTTAAAAATTATGTAGAGTTTTATTTTGCATGCATGTATTTACTTTAAATTTTTCAAATTGTGATGTTATTTTGTTTTCTGACTGTAATTATTTTTTATTTTTGTTTTTATTAAATTCTCATAACCTTTTACTTTTAAATTCAATTTTTTGATGTAATCTAATTCATAAATGTTTCTTCTCCACAAAAAGGGTCCTAGTTGATTTTTCTCGAAATGTATTTCAGAGAAAATGAGTTTTATGTACTTTTTATAAATAAAATAAATTTCTGTAAAAAATATGTTGATAGATAAAAATAAATTTTTATGGT